AGCATCCTGCACCAGTCCCCAGGGAAGGAGCCTTGGGCAAGACCTCCAGTGGTGACTGAGCCCTGGTGACCCAGGATGGCCTTGGCAGGACACGCTCTGCCTTCTCGGCCTCACTCTGCTACCTGAGCAGTGTCTTCTCTGGTGAGTTCCTGGCCCTCTGACTCAGATCTTCCCCCGGGGCCGACAGCAGCCCTGTCAAGACTTCGAGCCAGGCTGAGGCTTCACCACTCAGGACCTCAGTCCCTTCTTCTGGGAAACAGGGTGGATTCATTCCCTTCTTCACAGGCTAGAGGTGTTCAGGATCAAAGGCGTCCATCACAGTGGGATGGCTGAACACACATCACCACTGTCATTCACTCATTTCTCATGGGCTCGATCCAGCAGTTCCACCCACCCCAGAAGGAAAACAGGGACTCATGTGAATCTGTGTACCCGAGGGTTCAGGGGAGGGAGAGGTGGGATGACACAAGTCAGTCATCCACGTGATGGAATACTGTTGTTAGGTGCTGTGGGGCCAGTTCCAACTCAAAGCATGACCCTATTTAGGAGACCATAGAAATTCTACACACAACAGAACAAAACACGGTTCTATGAGGGCATTGTTGAAATCACCAAGATGGAATATTACTCTGCCATAAAAAAGGAATAATAACTTTCTAATTCATGACACTAGGGACATTATAGCTGATGTTAGATGGATCTTATCTGAAAGCACAGAGTACCAGGAGGATGTCTATCTGTGTTTCATTGACTATGCAAAGGCATTTGACTGTGTGGATCATAACAATCTGTGGCTAACCTTGAGAGGAATGGAAATCCCGGAACACTTGATTGTGCTTATGCAAAAACCTATACTTGGAATTCCAAACACAGCAAGAGAACACTATATAGTCCAAAATCAGGAGTGGTGTACAACAGGGATGCATCCTATCTTCATCTTTTCATGTGGAACAGATCTTCTGGAAGGCTGGGCTCTATGAAGAAGAATGTGGTATCAGGATTGGAGGAAGACTCATCAACAACCTGCTTAATGCAGAAGTTTTACAACCTTGCTTGCCAAAACTGAGGAGAACCTGAAGCACTTGCTGCAGAAGGTCAAGGACTACAGTTTTCAATATAGATTGACACTCAACATCAAGAAAACAAAGATTCTCACCACTGGGTCAACTGGCAGCATCATAATATTCAGAGAAGAGATTGTTAACACCTTCAGCTTGCTTGGCTCCTCAATCAACACTCTTGGTACCTACAGCTAGGAAATTGAGATTAATTGCATTGGGGAAAATCTGTTGTCAGGGACCTCTCTAGAGTACTGAAGAGCAATGATGTCAGTCTAGAGACTAAGGTGTGCCTGATGTAGGCCATGGTCTTCACAATTTTTATTTTATTTTTTAAATTTTTTAAAAATTTTTAATCTTTAGGTCTTCACAATTAGTTGCTATGCATCAGAGAAGTGGACAATGACTAAGGATGACAGAAGAAGAATCAATCCCTTTGAGTTGTGGTGCTGGAGAAGAGTACTGAACATATCATGGACTGCTAAAAGAACAAATAGGACTATACTAGAGAGGGTGAAACCAGGCTGCTTCTTGGAGGCAAAGATTTTGAAGCTCAGTCTGACGTACTTTGGGCACATTGCAAGGAGGGACCAGTCCTTGGAGAAGAACGTCATGCTTGGAAGGAGGGAGTACAAGAGCGGAGGACTCTCGCTGAGACGAATTGACTTAGTGACTAGGGTAATGGGAGTAGATGTGTCCGAGACACTGAAATTAGCTCAGGAGAGAGCAGAGTTCAGAGCTGTTTGTTGTGCATAGGATTGTTATGAGTCAGAGTTGACTCAATGGCACATAACAACAACAACAACAATAATTCATGCTACACTGTAGGTAAACCTTTAAAATACTATGCCCACTGAAATAAATTGGATACACAAGGGTAAATATTGTCAGATATGGCTTGTACGAACTACAGGGAAATGGACCCGTAAATATAGATTAGTAGATTGTCAGGGGAGAAGGAATGCATGCTGAAAGGATTCATGGTTTCCGGTTAGAGTTATGGAAGAAGAGTCTTGGAATTCCAGGGGTGGTGAGCACATAGCATTGTGAATGTAATTAATGCCATTGGATTGTGCACTTGGAATGGTTAGTTACAATGATTAACTTTTATTATATACTGTATGTATGCATGCATGTATACATATGTAGGTATATATTATCACAATGAAAATTATAATATAGTCAATGACGCTTCACAGTCAGTGACGCTTTCACTGGCGTGAACAATACAGAAAACAACAGTAACAATAATGGGAGATCTGTCAGGTCATTAGAGCGGACCCTTCAATCCCTCACACATACGGAGAACTCAGAGCTTAGAAATCTTAAACTCAGTATCATTTCATCCCAGAAAGGCCTCCTGTGTAAACCTGTGTTTTCATTCGCAAAGTGGACAAACATCTTAAAGGATCAGTACCCGTGGGGGTGGGAGGGGGGGACTCAGGGGAGCGTGATGCAGGGGAAATCGGAAAGGTCGGCTCTAGCTGGATTTGAACTTCGGATCTTTGAGCATTTTCTTGGCATCCGTTCCCTTTTGGAAACACCACAGGGAAATATCCTTTATTTTCTTGGCTAAGTCTTTGGCGTCCACATTCTAACTCTTTGCATCCAAACCACTTGTGTCTTACCCTAAGCCATGGGGGCCTTGAGGATTTGAGGGGAGGGTGCTAACGGGTGCAGCCTCTGGAGCCCCCCCACAGGGCACCCGGAAGAAAGGTGACCTGCATTCCAAGGCTCCCAGCCCTGAGCGCCCCCGGGAGCACCTGACTGAGTGCAGTAGGGACTGAGGGTAGACAGGAACAGAGCGGTGGCCTCACGCTGCGACAGGAGGCAGCCTGGGGTCCTTCCACGCTGACACTCATCTACAGAGATGGTTTCATTTTCCATTTCACCTCCACAGCCAGGCTCCTCATCTCATTTATCAACCAGGGAGACTGAGGCACAAAGCGGTCAAGGCCCCGGATCTGGGTCACAACAGCTGGGGTCCCCCCTCCCCAGGAGCATCAGGGGTGAGAAGGCTAAGGTCACAGGTGTGGTGGATGCACCAGGGTTCAGGGCCAGGGTCAGGAAGGGAGTGAGCAAGGCGGAAACGTGGAAGTGTGCCTGGGGGGGGGGGAAGCTGTCAGGAGATCCCTCTTCGGGTTTCACACCCCTCCTCCCCTCCCCCACCTCAGCTCTCCCTTTCCCCAACCTCTTGGGGACCCCTCAGCCTCTACACCCTCGATTCCCTCCCGAAGTTACATCTCAGGGTCCCCTTGCCCACCTCCACAGCTTCCTGCGCCACTGGGTGCCACTCATTCCACCCCTTTTTTCCTAAGCTCTCACTCTGGGTTCAGGGCTCCCCAGCTAGAATGTCCCCGCCCCCAGCCCTTTCAGGGATTCCTTCTGCCCCTCCCCCATTAGGGGTTCCCCTCTCCCCACCCAGCTTCTCCCTCCTCCCAACCCCGAAGGGATCCCGCCCCTCCCCCCGGGGCTTCCCCCTCCCCCGACCCGTGACTTCTGGGGTACCAGCGGGGTTTTCCTCGCGCGCCCACGTGCGGCCCCGTGGAAAGGTCGTGGCCTTTGCTCAGAGTCGCTTTGGCCAGCCGGGGCCCAGGCGGGGGACTGCGGAGAGGGGGCAGCTCCGCGAGCCCACCCTGCAGACCAGGCCAGAAGGGCTGGGCCGACACGGCCCGGGGGCGTCACCGCCCGCCACGCGGGGAACTGGGAGGTGGCCCGCCCGGCTCCTGGTTTCGGTTTAAGGCGCAGCGTGCCAAGCGCAGCTGGGACTTCCTGGGGCATTTTCCTCCTAGCTGGATTCAGTTTGGGGACAGACAGACATTTGCCCTCAGCGCAGTGGAAGGGCCAGTCGGCGTAGGGACGGTCTGAGTGTGTGGGGACGCGCGTCCTGGGCTGCAGCGGCCACTGCGCTCGGGGCCTGCGGCAGCCCGGCGCCCACCGCGCTGTGTGGTCCAGGGCGGGCGCTTGGCCTCTCTGGGCTGCGGTGGCCGCGGACGGGTGAGGCCGCAGCCAGCCCCCCGGGGGGCGTCTGTATGCGCCCGGAGCTTGGGGCTGGCTCCAGCCGGGCCTGTAACAGCAGAGGCTGGCCCGCCAGGTTTCGGCCAGGTTTCGTAATAAACCGGTCTTTTAATTGCTACAGGGCAGGAGGGAGAAGAAAAAAAAAAAAAAAGAGGCGAAGCTTTGTTGGAATCGGGTGGCGGCGCCGGCTGCAGAGAGAGAGAGAGAGAAGCACTGTTTTTGCATAGGAGCCTGAAGCAGCAAACAGGGCTTTTAGAAACACTTCCTGGGGAGACTGGGGGGCGGGGGTCAGAGGGGAGTGCATTTGGGGGGGTGGTCCGAGCCTTTCATCAGAACCTGCAAAGACACCAGCAGTCAACTTGTCTTTACAAATTTATTACAAGGCCATACTAGAAACAAAAATAGATGAAATCTCTGAGCGTCCAGTCTCTTTGCAGTGGTTGGAGTAACAAAATAGATTGGCTATGTAATCTGCAAACTAACGAGTTTCCTGGGTCCAGTGCAGCCTGGGCCCCAGCTCCAAGTGCTGAAGTAGGAAGTCCTGGCGAGGCTCGATCCCTCGCCCACCGCGTCCAAGTCCTCTCGCAGCTCCGGCCTCAAGGGGCATGCTGCAGGCGTTGCCCCATCCTCAGAGAGTCGCGGTCTAGGCCCTCGGTGCTGTGGGGGGAAGACACGCCGGGTTCCCCCCAATCTGGCGTCTGCTCTGTCGCCGGCCTACGCTGATGCGGGGTCCCCTCTTCTGCTGGTGTGAGGGGACTCCCCTCTCCTCTCTTGGTGGCTGCAGATGGCGCTGCTCCAGGCCACCGCCCTGGGGGTGACCCCACAGCCCCCTCTCCTTGTCCTCAAGTCTCCAATGACTGCCCCCGATGGTCTCACGGGTTGGGTATTTTTTGGGGGAGAGGCTGTGCTGGCGGGGAGACGGAGTCAAATATTTATTTGAGTTTTGGTTTTTATCGGGTTTTGTTGGCAGCAATTCAGCAGCTTCCGGTGCCCGGCGGGGGCTCAGCGCTCCTGCAGGGCAATGTAGGGCACCCACTGATTGTTAACCCGGCTCTCTTCACAGTAACTGGCCACTTCCACCAGCCCCTGGCTCTTCCAGGCTTCTGTGTGCGGGTTCTGAGGGAGAGAGGAGACAGGGTTCAGAGACCGCCCAAGAGCTGCTGGGTTAGCATCCTCTCCCCAGGAAAACAGCCGGGGCCCAAAAATAGCTCCCGGGTGACGAGGCTGGCCGGGCTGCCCACGGGACATGCCAGGGACATGCCGAGCGTGGCTGCGGCCTGAGCTGGCAGGCGGCTGGGCTTTGTTGACAAACATGGCCCAGGTGGCCTGCGGGACAGGCCGGGGTGTATGCAGTGGGGGGAACCCACTCACCGTGACGAGGAGGCAGTGAAGGTCTCGGGGCTCCGTGGGGCCCTGGGTCTCGGGGGGCTCGCCCAGCAGCTGTGCCAGGCGCTGCATGCCGGACACCCGCACGATGTCGATGTCGTTGTCGCAACAGAAGGACTGGATGAGAGTGAAGTGAATCTGCAGGGCGATGTCGTCCTCCTCCTCCTCGTCGATGGCCAGGAGGCACAGAACCACGCTGTCCGGGTCCCTGCAAGGCCGGAGAGGAGAGGGGGCGGGTCAGCCGGGGACAGCGGGTGCACTCGGGACAGCGCGTCGGGGCTGGGCGTGGAGGGTGGGGAGGGTCGGGAAACCCATGCGCGCCCGCACGCGCTCCCCTCCGGGAGCGGAGGGCCCCAGGCCGCCGTGGGGGCGCTGGGGGAAGTCCCAGCCCCGGGCTGGGAGAGGGCTTCGGGGAGCCTGCAACGCGCCGGAGAGACCTCACCTCGCGCCCAGCCCCGGGAAGGGGAGGTGACTCACACATTCATCAGCTTGGCCGACTCGTACACCCCCACGGTGAGGCGGTCCTGGCGCTGCGCGGCCACCAGAAGCTCTTCCACCGCGGCGCTCACCGTCTGCATCCTGTGGGGTTCAGGGGGGCCAGGGCGGTCAGGCCGGGCGGGACCGGGCTGACCCCACGCGCGCGCCGCGCGGTCCCTCCCGGCCCAAGCCCGGCCGACCTCAGGCGGAGGGCGCCCCGGCTACTTGGCTACTTACTTCTGCGCCGCGTTGTCGCACGCCACGATCTCTTCCAGGGTCATGTTGCAATTATAATCCACAGTGGAAAGAGCTCCGCACAGTCCCGAGGGAGAAAATGCAAAATCCGAGACGCAGAGCCCAGCGCGTTCCCACGGAGCCGGAGCGCCAGTCCAAGACCTTCGGGAAAGCAGCAGCGAAATCCCCAAAGAAGTCAGGAAAAAAAAGGGGGAAATTAAAAAAAAAAAATGCAAGTCCTCGGAGTGAATATCCAAGAGGCGCCCAATACAGAAGCTCGTCACAGGCTCCAGAGATCTGGGGTGCTCACGGCAGACACCGCCTTTTATAGACTCCGAATTGGGGCGTGGCCAACGCCAGCCCGACAGCTGATCCTATTGGCGGAGCAACAAAGGCGAGGGCAGTGTGCGCGGCGGTTGGCTGGCTGCGGGGAGGGGGCGGAGTGCGGCGCGGAGGCGGCCCACGTGGGTGCCGGGGGGCGCTGCGAGGGGGGCCCGCGAGTACCCGCAGGGAAAAAAAAAAGCAGAAGTTTTTCTCCTGATTTCCCGGCATCCGCGCCGCGTTTCGGGGCGCGCGCGGGATTTCCAGCGCGCAAGGCGGCCCTGACTTTCGGGGGGGCCTAGAATCCCCTCCTTGCTCCTGGAGAGTCCCTGACCAGCGTCTGTTCCAGAGGGCGGTCTGCATGGGGAGGGAGCGTACCTGCGGAGGGAGCAGGCACTGGGGAGAGGGTTCTTTAGTACTCTGATCGCTCCCAGCGGGTTCTGAGCGGGGGTCTTCCCTGGCTGCCGGGTCCCTTGCCCTCAGGTGATTAACCTTTCTAGTCTCTGTCACCTCCACTTGTTCGGTGCAAATGCAGGGCCCCCCTAGTAGGGCTGCAGGACACAGGCAACGAAACAAGGACCTAAACAGTAAACTTTCAATAAACGTCAGATGTTCAACTGGTGTGTGGATCGTGAGGCCCCCCCAAAAAAGAGGGTTGCAAAGGCCTAGGCGTCCCGAGGGAGAGGGGCGCCCCTCGAGGCCCCCCGCGAGTTTCAGGGCGCGCGCCGAGGTGCAGGTGGCCCGCGCCGCCGTCCTGCCCTGAGCGCCCCCTGCCGGCTGCCCGCCGCTCCGCCTTTTGACCGCAGTTGACCGAGCCTCGAAATGAAAGCGAGAGAAAGCGAGGGCGAAGCGGCGCCGGCGGGAGCTGCACGCTGCCGCCTCAGGCCGGTTTGCGATCACGACGCCGCTGCTCCAGCCTCGCTCCCTGCAGGGAGCGTGCGTGGTGGACCAGCCGGTCACTCTCTAGTGCACGGTTCATTTAAACTTCAGGGACCTGGAAAACGAGGGCAGGGGCAAGACCGTATGTCCAGCGTGCAAAAGGGGGAAACTGAGGGCTGCAGACGTTCATGGTGCAGCCGCGCGTGGGCACCTGGCCACGCTGCACGGCAGGGACCCCGCGCCAAGCGGCCTCCATAGGAAGGCCGCTCACGAGCGAGTCATGCAGGATCATTTGGGATGATGGGCTCCCACGGCCGGCTGGGGGCTCCCCGGTGACTCATGTCCTCGCCCCCTCCCCCGGCAGTCTGGCCTCGGCCTCGCCGCTCAGCTCCCCCGGCTCCCGGCCTGCGGGGCCGGCTGACGCATCGCTCCGCCCCCGCGCCGCCCACCTGGGAGCCACAGGTCGGGATGCGAGGCGCGCTGGCGCCCCCTGGTGGCCATGCGCGGTCACTGCGCCTGCCGGGCCGGAAGGGCGGGGCTGCGCGGAGCAAAGGGGGGGGGGAGAGCTGGGGTGTTATCTTACCTGCTCAGCATTTCACATGGGCAATAAACACTTTCTGTTTATAGATGCAAGCCTGTATTACTGCCCTCGCTCTTTATAGGCAATGCTTTTTATTTTTTTAAATTTTGTAATTATTATTAGTTTTAATGAAAATGTACAGACTTTGGATTTCCATTCATTCATTGTTGTACTTTTCTCCCTGCCCACCCCTCCCCACCCGCAAGGTTTTTAAATAGTTAATTTCTGAGGAGCTCTAAGTTAACAGAAAAAAAAATTATGCAGAAAGTACAAGCAGTTCCCTCCCTCTCCTTGGCACACTTTCTTTTTTTTTATTTTATTTTTTTTTTGGCACACTTTCTCTTGTTACTAACGTTGTGCCTTTCCCTGGCTAATTTGATGCATTATTATTAGCCGAAGCCGTGCATTGCTGTTGTTGTTAGGCGCTTTGAGTTCCCTTCAACGCATAGCAACCCACGTAAACAGATCGAAACCCAACTTCTGCACCACGCTCACGTCCTCTGCTTGCTGGAGCGCTTCTCACAGGCCCTGTTAATGCGTCTCAGTGACAGTCTTCCTGTCATGTCACTGACTCTCTGCTTTTCCGAGCATGATGACTGCACCTCCTAAATGACACTCCCAAAGCGCATGAGATGAAGTCTCACCATCCTTGTCCCTAAGCAGCATTCTGGCAGCACTTCCTCCAGAAGGATAGGCTAATTTTTCTGGTGTTGGTGGTGCTATTGTTAGGTGCCATCGGGTCGTCAGCCTTTCACAGCGCCTCTGTGTACAACAGCTCTGAAGCCTGCTCGGTCCTGAGCCAGTCTACATGACTCTGACACACCTGCCCCCATTACCCCAGTTACTGTACCACTCCATCTCATCCAGGATCTTGTCCCTTCACCCTTCTGAGCATGATGTCCTTCTCCAAGGACCAGTCAGTCCCTCTTGGCCATATGCCCAAAGTATGTGAGATGGGGCTTCAAAAGCCTTGCCTCCAAGGACAAACTTGATTTCACCCTCTCCGAGACAGATCTACTTGTTTTCTTGGTGGTCTATGATATGTTCAAAACACTTCTCCAGCACCACAACTCAAAGGCAGCAATTCTTCTGTCATCCTTACTCATTGTCCAACTTTCAGATACAATAGGAAGAAAAAACCATGGCTTGAATTAGGCGCACCTTAGTCTTTACAGTGACATTCTTGCTCTGCATCCTGATGCTTTTGAAACATGGTGTTGGAGATGAGTACCGGATAGCCCACGGACTTCCAACAGAACAAACAAATCTGCCTGAGAGGAAGTGTGGCCAGGGCGCTCTTAGAGCAAGGATGTGAAACGTCCATTCGTACTTGGAGCATGCTTTCAGGAGGGGTCAGTCCTTGGAAAAAGACCCCACACTGGGAGAGGTGGGGGGTGAGCGAGAGAGAGGAAGACTCAACAAGCGAAGATGGGTTGACACAGTTACTGTAACAACGCGCTGGAACAGCTCGAGAGGATGGTCCAGGAGGGACAAGTCAGGTCTGTGTCCACAGGGTGGCTGTGAGTCAGTCAGCCCCAGCGCAACTACAACACTGGCAAAGTTGTGGGTGGTGTTTTTTTTTTCTTGTTGTGTACCGTCCAATCAGATCCGACTGCACAGGAGGAGACCACCCCTCCTTCTCCAGCAGAGCAGCTGGTGGTTTCGAACCATGCACCCTCAGGATTGCAGTGCAGCTGCTTGCCACTCGGCCACCAGAGCTCCCTCGGGTAAAGCATTATTAAGCGGCCTTGGTGTGTCGTTTATAGTGTAGTGGGCTACCAGCCACAGGCCAGCAGTTCAAACCCATCAGCCTCTTCCTGGGAAAAAGATGGACGGTCCTCCCTCCCTTCCTGCGGCCCCTAGAGACTTGTAGTCTTGAAAGTCCAGTGAGCAGCTGAGGGTTGGCGTCCAGTGGGCAGCTGAGGGTTGGTATCCAGTGGGCAGCTGAGGGTTGGCATCCAGTGGGTAGGTGAGGGCTGGATGTCCAGTGGGCAGCTGAGGGCTGGACGTCCAGTGGGCAGCTGAGGGTTGGACGTCCAGTGGGCAGCTGGGGGGTTGGAACCCTCTTGATGGCAGTTAAGTATAGGTTTTCTTGGCATCAGGCTGGGACGTAAGGTGAGGCTGGTGAGTCAGCCCCTCAGAGACAATGTTTAAAAGAAAGTTCAACAAAGTTCGTCATCAAGATAAAAAATATTTTAATGTAACATTTTAATAAATTTCTATTTGAGTGAGTTTACAAAGCAAACTGACTTTCCATTTGACTATTGATGCCGTTTTGTTTTATGGCATTAATGACAATATCGGCATCATAACCTCACTCACTCAGCGACCTGTCTGTGGCTTTCTTTTTCGTGATCCTTCTGTCCTTCTCGCCCTGCCTTCCAAGCTCTATCTCTGGGCCAGCACTGCCCTTCTGGTCTGGCGTGGCTGTTTATCGAGGACAGAGTGAATGTCTCTGGTGGTGGTGTTCGCACGACAGGCCTGTCGTTGGGACAGGCAGCCCTGGGGGCCTAGTGGTAAGAAGTTGTGCTGCCACTCCAAAGGTGGTTATTGTTGTGTACTGCACAGTTAGAAGCAATTCGTGTGTGTACACACACACACACACACACACACACACACACACACACACACAGAGAGAGATCCATGATGAACAAAATACAAAATATCACTATTTTACACATGGACAAGCCCCCACAGGACGGGGACTAGTGGAGAGAAGCGAGACGGAAGGGGACCACGCCAGTGCAGGGCTGAACCTCGTATTTAGTCTGAAAGTTGCGCTGGTTCCTCCGTGGTAAGGAGCTGCGTTGCTGGCCCAAAGGTGAGCAGCTAGACTCCACCAGCTTCGCTGCAGGAGAAGGACAGGCGGTCTCCTCCTGTGCAATTTACTGTCTCTGAAAACCCACCTGAGGGTCAGCTATGAGTCTCTTTCAACTTGATAGCACACAACGACAATAACCCTTCAAGCCTAGAAATAAAGTCACCAGAAATAAATAATACCAGGAGGATCAGCGTCCTCAAAACAATCAAGCTCACAAGATCAAAGGACAACACTGACCCAGGGCTCACAGACAGGACAGATAGGAAGGTGGGACAAATGGAGATGAGAAAAACAGGGAGGGAGCAGGGAGAGTGCCGCTCGCTCCATCGAGGGCATGGTAACTCATGTCAGGTGACTTAATGTGCGAGTACTGTTGAAAGGAAACTCATGCTATCCTCGAAACTTTCACACAAATCACAATTATAACATTTTTTTTAAGTTTTTTCTGACTACATGTTTATTCAACACAAAACAATTCCCTCCAACTTTACTGAGGTGGCTGACCACGTCCACGACCAAATCCGCCTCTAAACTG